AAGTAAAAAGAGGAAAATTTCTTTAATCAGGAGACAGGAAATTGCTTCATGCAGTCATCCTTTAATAGTAAAAGCTTAACTAAACCCGCATACTCGGAAATTGCCGAATATTCCGTATAGTCGAGCGCAACTGGAAAAAGAGGAGGGGGGAGATTGTAGCCGTTCTTTAGATTTCAGGACTAAATAATGATTTTGACATTTCGATATGTGCATCATATAAAAATAGACCAACGGAACTGAGAAAACTCTTGCTTAGAAGCACAGCAAAACTCTTCAGTGTTCATAAATAAAATCTCAAGACTGCAAAATCCGCAAACGTTGTTGCGCAATACCGCCGGCGTAATTGCTTCCATACGTGATATTACACAATCGGAATCGGAATCACAGCTGCCGGTATTCGAAGAATAAAGAACTAAATAAAGGAAAAGAAAGAGACTTTCCTAATCTGGGGTGTTTTGATTCAAATTTTGAACAGACTGCGTTAAATTTCCCGAATAGAAATCATTCTTCGCTTGGGTTGGGTAGACCGCAAAAACTTTAGTCCTATTCAATCCCGATTGGACAGTGAAAAAAAAAAAAAAAAAAAAAAAAAGGGGTCTCGCTGCCTCAATATTAGAGATTTTGCGGAAGAAAGGGGAGAACCTCCCGTATCTGTACTATGCATAATGGTATTGGGCAAAAAAAAAAAAAAAAAAAAAAATATTCTTGACTATTCGGTTACATTCCTTTTATTGTAAGCCATTCCGAATATTATTCCTCAGGAAGCTAATCTGTGTAAAAATACACCCATTTTTGGAAGTTTATGTACACTTCAGCAACTTTAAAATTGCTGATAATTCTAAAAATATTGCACACAGATTTACTAAAGGCATAAAATCCTTAACCGGAAGATAAAAACAACATAATTCAATCATTTTTAACCCCTTTGCGCCGACTGTCACGTATACGTGCCAGCAACGAACGCACTTATCTACCGTCTACCGGCCGACACGCAGGCGTGCCAGAGCAATGTTGCGTTTTCTACCGAATGTCACGTATTTGTGCCAGTACCTTGGAATGTTTTTTAAACTATAATTTCTGCCACAAGATGGCACTGTATGCCCATATGGTTTCAGATACATGTACATTAGAGCTTCTACTCCAAATGAGAGAAGCATGACTCACATACACGTGTTTTTGATTATATAAACAAACGGGAAACTAAATGTTTCCGAATGGAGTGATTTATGACGTCTCTTTAAATCGGACTTTATTCGCACGTGGTAGTTGTTTATTGTAAGTAGAAGTTTTATATGCGCTAAAGCATTGAGTATTTCGGATTACAGTTCAGTTTTTAGAAAATAATTAGATCTTGTTAGACGTGAATTCTTTCTGTTTATACCATTTCAATGTCGAAGCGTCGAAAATGTTTAACAGAGCATGAAATAGCAAAAATGATGCAAAATATTTCAGATATTGATTCTAAAAGATTAACTGAAAGACATTTTCCAAAACTTTGTTCAGAAGAGACTGATAAGAAAATGAGACGACAATGCTTCGTTTGTTCACATTCCCGGAAAAATCCTCCAAAACAGCAAATGAGTTATTACGAGTTCAAGGAATGTAACGTAGGACTGTGTGTAGATCCCTGTTTTAAATTTTTCATACGAAAAGAGAATTTTAAGTAATATATTTAGTTTTCAGATGTATAATGTTAAAGTCATAAAATGGTGAGTAATTAAATAAATGTGTAAAATATGCATTTAGACCAAGAATAAGGTAATTAACGTATATATATAAAAATATCTATAAAGCATAAGCCGTTTAAATACTCTATAGAGCATTATTAAACAATGCGTTGATACTTCGGAAATTTCATGGATTTTAGGCTTAGTAGCAAAAAAGCTCCGTGATAAGCTGCCGGCCTCCGTGATAAGCGCGCGTTTTCGCTACCCGGCTCGAAGGGGTTAAAGCAAAAAATGTACAATTTACCAACATATAAGAGTAAAGAAACTGAGATTACTGAGCCGGGTACAGAGTCGATATATATATAAATATATTTATATACGTTTGGTGCAGCCGATTGCAACCAAAATACGAGGTGCACATCTACACGTTATAGCAGTCCTATATTCAAAATTTCAACGTTCTGAGGCTACTCGTTTTTGAGTTATGCGAGATACGTACGTACGTTCGTACAGACGCCACGAAAAATTCTCTTCAGAATTAATTTTAAAGCAGTTTTATAATTTTTTTGCAACTATACTATAAATATTCATACATATGCTCATAATATAAGTATAACGATCATAATAAACACGAATATGAACTGACCACACGGAATGAGAATGCAAATTATTAAAATCTTGATAGAAATTCAAACATGTGTAGTATTTGGGTGGGAGAAAAAAAATACCGAATGTACCGGAATTTTCTACGGTTTTCGCAATTCTTTGAGCAATAGAACGACGTGCAACTGTCTGTACTCTCGCGCGTACAATAGGTTACATTAATGCAGACAAAGGGGGAAAAGCTATTTTCGGGAGTATGATTCACCGTTTGACGTTCCATATAAGGAAGAAAAGTTGTTTATTCAGTTTGGGCTTTGGTACGGGGGGGGGGGGGATGCATGTTCATTAAAAAAGCACTAAAAGCAAAAAAATAAGCAGTAAAAACAAAAAATAAGGGCTTTAAAGAAAAAGTAAGCACCTATAAGGGCCTTTATATTTTATTTTCAAATATAAGGACTTATAAGCACTTGTAAGGACCGCTACGAACCCTGTAAAAGTTATGGAATCAAATATGGATAAATTAAGTGAAGCTTTGCTGATTAATATTATTCTCAATAAAATAGATAAAGAATCGCATAAGCAATTTGAAATGTCATTAAATAGTAATGATTTAAGCGAATGGTAATCTTTCATGACATCTCTTCAAAAGTGATACCAGATGTTAGAAAATATGCAAAACAAAACTGTATTTGCAAAAAACAAAACATTCCTTAGAATAAAGTTTGATCACTAGTGACAAAAACAAATAATAATAATAAATTTATGTGTCCTGTTTGCAAAGATAATCAGGCAATTCTTAAATGTGAAACATTTCTACCATTAAATCCAATGGAACCATACGAAATGATTAAAAATCTTTCTTTGTGCATTAATTGTTTACAGTCAAATCATAAAGTAGCTTCCTGTCAGTATAGACATTTAGACATTTTTGCTCCGAATCAAAACATAATTCACTTCTTCATCCGAATGACACATCCATGTGGTCTTTAACAAGTGGGGGGAAAGCAAAGTGAAGCTATGTCCTCCCCAGAGAACTGCAAAAGGCTGTTTTGAATAGCAATGAATCAACAGAAAAAGCCTTATCCGAGTGTCTTTTTTTGAAAAATAAAACTGTTCTTTCAACTGCGATTATTTGGGTTAGACATATTTATGGCCAATTCGTTAAAGCAAGAGCTGTTCTTGATTCAGAATCACAGTAAAATTTTGCTACTAATGATTTCTGTGAAGAGGCAAATTTAAAAAAGGAAAGAATAAATATTCTTGTTTCTAGTTTAGATGGGCAAATTTCAAACATTAAATCTTGTAATTTTGCTTCAATTTTTAATGGAAATAATTCGTTCTCTGCTTCATTAAGTATTTTAGTTGTAAATAAAATCACAGATTTAGTACCTTCTACAAAATTAAACATTGAAAATATAGATATTCCTGATACATCAAGTTTGGGTGATCCAGAATTTGTAACTCCATCTAGCATAGATCTTTTAGGAGCAGAAATATTTTATGATATTTTTATTAATGGATAATTTAGATCTTCTATGAAATCACTTGTTTTCAGAAATTCTTTGTTTGGTTATATAGCTACTGGTTTTTTAAAAACATCCCTTGGAAAACTGACAGAATTATTGTGGACTTCCCGGTAATTTTGATAATATTGATAGATTGGTAGAAAAATTCTGGTCAGTGGAAAATATTGGTGAAGAAAAGCCAATTCTTAGTCAAGAAGAATTCTGTGAACAACATTTTAAAGACACTTGCAGACGAAATGAAGATGGTAGATTTAACGTAAAAATGCCTATAAAAGGCGAACAATTAGGAAATTCAAAACAGCCTATATTAAACTCAATCAATTAGTTAAACATCTTGTCAAAAACGCTACATTGCAACATTTATATCAAGATTTGATAACATGGAGGATTTGGACCATATGGAAAATGTCGATGACAATTCAAAACCGGAACTTGAATATTACCTTCCCCATAATGGAGTATATAGACCAGAGAAATCAAGTACAAAATTAAGAGTTGTGTTTCATGCTAGTGCCCCAAGCTCAAATGGTTTAAGTTTGAATGATTTACTTTTAGCGGGAGCAGTCCAAGAAGATACTTTTGATATTTAGAAAACATCAAGTTGCAATTATTGTGGATATACAAAAAATGTACCAGCAGATTTTAGTTGACGAATCCCAAAGAGACTTACTTCGAATCTTATGGAAGAGAAACCTTAGTGATTCACCTGTGACATATAGACTCAAAACAGTGACTTATGGTACTAAAAGTGCTCCATTTTTAGCTATTAGATGCATAAAGCAAGTTGCATATGACGAAATGCATGAACATCCTGAAGCTGCCAAAGCTGTCTTGTCAAACTGTTATCTTAATTAGTTTAGACTCATTTTACAAAGTTATCAAGGATTTCTTTCCATTTAAAACCTCCTCCACTACTCCTATAATGATGTAAATATGAACTTGTGGCTTTTAGAAAATCTAGATGTGGCTCTCGAACATTCCCGAGTTCAAACATGCGGCTCTTAATGACATGAAGTTTGGCCAACCCTGTTATATATAATTGTGAAGCTTATTACATAGGAGATGCAACATATTTTTAACAGTAAATCAAAAGTGTCGAAAACTATTACTAGCAGTCAAATTTCCTTTAAAAATATAGAATGACTAATTGCCTTGAAGGAAATACACATGCATAAATGAAGTTCTGAAGGTGCAAAAAATTTACCTGTTATCAGCATTACTACTTAAATCACATTCATAAGTAGAGTTCTCATTAGAAGCCCATCTGAAATCTTTATCAAAATCTTCATATACTCCTTTACTGTGTAAAGCATCTTTGAAGGGCAAAATTGGAGGAATTTCCTAAACATGTAATAATTTGGCCATGTTAAATACACATGCAACATACAGAGGAAAAAACAAAATAAAGAGGCATTATTATGAATGGAGAAAATCTAATATTACTTTTTAAAACCAAAACAATGCTAATGATTAAAAACAACTGGTTTTATTTATTGCAAAATGACCTGGGCTTAGAAGAGAGTTTATACAACAGGGCTTTTTAAAGAAAAATTGTCCATATTCATATCACATCAAGGAAAAACCATAAAATAACATGAGCCAGCTACTGATTGGGAATGTAATGAGACTTTTTATTTTACTTGGCCACAGAATTAATCCTTGACATGGGGTAACAAATTGCCAGCTCCAAGTGTTATCAACATTGTAAGATTAATCATCCTTCCCAGAAATTGCCAATTCTAAATCTTTTTAATATTAGAAATTTATTTTTCAGACTATAAAATATACAGCAAACGATATTTTAAAACAATACACATATTTATTAATTTTTTTACCACTTTATCATTTAATAATGCTGATTTAATATAATCTATAATAGCTAATTGACGATTTTCATAAATATTCGCTGTGGCAAACAGATCACCATCCCCCTTTGCAAAGAGAGTGTTATTGCCCCCTCCTAGAGATTCGACAGATGAAAAGGAGACATCACCATGTACATGCGCAGATACATTTCAGCTGCACCTTAATTTTCTTACAGTTGTTTTGTTAATTTGTAAATAGTAGACGCGAAGAATAAAATGTTGGTGTGTTAAAATGCATCATCTCAGTTTTTTCGACCCTGTAAGTTATTTATTAAGCAACATAATTGGCGAGCCGGTGACAACATCAATTTCGACACATGATTGTTTATATAATTTACGAAAATAACTGAGAAGTTCCCAAGTGCAAACATGGAGGATTTGGATTTAGCAAAACAGGAAAGCAATTAGGAGTGCATTTATGAAAACAGCGAATAAGCTGGAAGACCTGATACGATCAGATTTTCTGGATTTGGATAATTTACAAATTTATTTAGATCAAATTTCGGAGAAGTATAAAACTTTACGAAATACGGATGACTCCTTTTTTGGAACTTCTACAGAAAAAGGCTGTACTCAAGAAGAATACAAAAGGGAATTTAGTGCAGCTCAAGAATATTACGATAAATTATCTACGTTGAAAGTAAAAGGTAACAGAAAAAAAGGATAAGTGTTCACAGTCTTCTATGGGTGCAACAAATAGCGGTACTTTATCAGGAATAGTTACGGCCACAAAACAGAAACTGGTGAAGTTCGATGGAGACCCTCGAAATTGGTTGACGTTTTGGACGAATTTAGTAAAATACATGAAGATACTCGCATCGACAGGAGAGACAAGTTTCATTATCTACTGCAATCTACGAAACCTGAGACTGCGCCAAGAGCAATAGTGGAAAGTTTTCCTGCTATGGAAGAAAATTATGAAAAAGCTGTGGAATATCTCAAAGAACAATTTGGAAATGAAAATGTTTTAATTCAAATTTTTGTTAGAGAACTATTAAAGCTGGTAATCAATGACAAACAAAAGACAGACTTATTAACTCTTTATGACAAGTTGCAAACTCAACTACACGCATTGGAATCACTCAGTTTAACTAAAGATAAATTTGCAGTTATTTTATTTCCTTTAGTTGAATCAGCATTTCCTGCCAATTTATTGTATTTTTTGTGAAAAATCCAATTTGTCTGAAAGTTGTAAGGATGCCTCTTTAATGAGTTTAGAATGTAAGAAAGATATCATTAAGAAAATGTTTGTTTTATGTGTCTTAAGAAAAACATAGAGCAAATCAGTGTACAGCTAAACATATGTGCACCTTACGTAAAAAATTGACATTTTGTGATTATGTGCCCTGATTTGCCTTCTAACAAAACAAAAAGTGTCACAAAGTTAGGGAATGACGAAAACAAAACAGGCATTTTTAATAACTATGTTAAGATATCAGATGTATATCTTCAAACTTTAATTGTAAAAATTCAGAATGGTTCTAAAAAAATGTTTGTACTAGCAATTTATGATAGTGGTTCGATGAAATCATATTTATGTAATGATGTTGCTCAAAGGTTAAATTGTAAGTGTACTGGTGAATCAAAAATTAAGCAATTTCTGTTTGGTGGAGTTGAGACTTCAGAAAATGTGTATAAAAAATATGTTATTGCCTAAGTAAGCAATATATGTAGTAAATATAAGTGTAAATTAGAGGTACTTGGTCAAAACAAAATTTGTTCTGAAATTAAACAACTCCCATCTGGTTTGTGGTTACACGAATTTAAGTCACATGGTATTAAATTAATTGATTTAGAAAATGGTCCATGTCATGTCGATAAAGAGAAAATTATTAATTGGTGCGGATTTTGCTGGTAAGTTGCTAACTATAAAAATTGTTCCCCTTACGTGCGGTGTCAGCGAAGTGCATACACAGTTAGGCTGAATTGTTATGGGTAAAATTAATGGCACTGAGCCAACTACGGTAAATACTGTATCCCCCCTAATTTCTTCTCTGTTAGTGAAGGGTCAATGTATTAGTGATCTCTGGAAGTTAGATGTTTTGGGTATTAGTGAACCTTCCATAAGTAAAACCAAAACTCAGTTACCAAAGATACACAAAAATATTTTGAAGAGACTCTTATGGTAAATTCAGACGGGTGGTACGAAGTAGCATTACCTTGGGTGTCGGATTGCTCGCTTTTACCCGAAAACAAAGTGATAGCAGAAAAGTGTCTTGTAAGTACTAAAACAAAATTAATGACTACGGGAAATCTTGATACTTACAGAGATGTTTTCCAGAACTGGTTAGCACTCGGATAATTGACAAAGTACCGGATTAGAAAAAATATAAGGGTGTACATTATTTGCCTCATAGAGAGATTGTAAAAGAAAATAGTAGCACGAGTATAAGACCAGCGTTTAATGGAAGTTCTCATTCGCCTGGTTACCCATCATTAAATGATTGTTTATCTACTGGACCAAATTTAATTAAAATTATACCTTCGATTCTTAATCAGTTTTGCAAGAATTACGTTGCTGTCACTTTAGATATAGAAAAAGCATTCTTGCAAATATCTATAAGGAAGGAAGATCGAGACTTTTTGAGATTTATGTGGTTCATCAATATGGATAATCAAGAACAAGTTGAACTGTAATGGCACAGTAGAGTAGTTTTTGGCATTACATTTAGTCCGTATTTATTGGCCGGTACAATACAACATCATTTGAGTGTAGTTCCCGAAACCTTAAGTCATACAGCGGAGATTTTGAAAGCATCCTTTTACGTAGATAACTGTGTGGCTAATATGGATTCAGAAATAAAAATGAGAAAGTTTGTAAATGAATCACAAATAATTATGGCTTTGGGTCATTTTAATTTAAGATTCTGGAAATCCAATGTAAGAAATGTTGTGCCAGAGGAAGATTCCTCCACAGAAGGAGATGCGTCAGTTTTAGGCCTTGCATGGCATACAGATACCATATCTTGCAAAATAGGTCAAAATATAAAACTTGAGGACCCAGTTACTAAAAGACAAGTTTTTAGCAGTAGTTCATCAGGTGTTTAATGTTATAGAACATACAGCTCCTGTAATGTTGATTCCAAAACTAATTTTACAGAAAACTTGGAATTTAAGGCTTAAAATGGGACGATGTTCTTCCCGATGAATTAACCAAAAAATTTAGGTTTTGGCGTAAAAGGTTTTACTTGGTATCCAGTATCTAAATACCTAGATGGGTAGGTCTCAAATCTATTAATGAAGCTGTGAGAATGCATCTCTTTTGTGACAGTAGTAAAAGTGCGTATGGTGCATGCATCTTTTTAAGAGTAGAGAGTGGCAAAAAGCTAAAAGTTTTAGTTTGGTACACGCAAGATCAAGAGTAGCGCCTTTAAAACCTATTACGATTCCTCAATTAGAACTTCTTGCTCGTAATATTGGTTCTAGGTTATTGTCTTCAGTTATTAATGATACTGGCTTATATGAAATTCGCATTCACTGATAGACTGACTCCTTGACAGCTTTCAGTTGGATACGGCGAAATCAACATTGGGAAGCATTCGTTTTTAATCGTGTACAGGAAATCAGATCTTTGACCTCCCCCACTGTATGGCGACATATCCCTGGTAGTCTCAATCCTGCTGACCTACTTTCTAGAGGTTGTTATGCAGATCAATTAATAGAACAAAAATGGTGGAAGGGACCTGATTGATTACGGGAAGATGAGGCAAATTGGCCTAAATTTAATGATGAACCAGATGAGGATTTAGTTAATTCAGAAATACATAAGACAGTTATTGTTACGTTGGTAAAGAATGATAATAGTATTGGATGGTACTATAAGTGTTTCTCGTCACTTAAGAAAATTGTTAGAATGTTATCATGGATATTCAGATTTTATAATAATGTACATAAAAATAATAATAACACCATTCTAAGGATTTGACTGTACCTGAAATAGAAAGGGGAGAAATAGCTTTAATGTTATTAATACAAAAAGAGTCGTTTAATGGTAAAACAGATGATAAGCTAAGACGACTCGGACCATTTGTCGATAGTCATGGTCTAATAGGAGCTAAGTCTAATGTTGCTTATTGTGACGACTTTAGCAGCTTTAAGTTCCCCATCATATTACCTTTTGAATATCCAGTAGTCAAATTACTGATATTCAGTGCACACAAAGAGTTATTGCATGCAGGTACTACATTGTTGATGTCACATTTAGGAGAAAGCTACTGGATCTTAAAATCACGTAAAACTATATGAAACTGATTCATGTCTTTGAGTTATTATGATTTATTTTGTTGTGCTATTATTTTTGTTGCATTATTACTGCTCAGTATTAATTTTGATTTCAAGTAATAAGATTTAAGTAATAACCCTGATTTATATTGATGTAAGATTTATGTTTTGAGTGTGTAGCCACTCACTCAAAAGGTGGGAGAAATGTGGCAAACAGATGACATCCCCCCTTTGTGAAGAAAGCGTTATTGCCCCCTCCTAGAGATTCGGCAGACGAAAAGGAGACATCAGCACGCGCATGCACAGATACATTTCAACTGCACCTTAATTTTCTTACAGTTGTGTTGTAAATTTATATATAGTAGATGCAAAGAATAAAATGTTGGCGGGTTAAAATGTGTAGTCTCAGTTTTTTGCGAACCTGTAAGTTATCTATTAAGCAACACTTGTATTATTAACATAGCTCATAAAACATGCACTAAATGCCATGTTGTAAAAGAATATTAGTTTACCACTTTTGATCTACTAAAAACAAGCTGGGAGCACAACTGCTTCAAGTGGACATTAATAAAGAACAGGTTTATCAAAAATTTTGATACAGAAGACCACTGAAATCTTTGGTCATTAATGTAGCAACTGTTTTAATGCAGGTGCAAAAATTTTCAAAACAATGAATCCATCAAGCTGTTTTAACACTTTTTACAAGAATGCTCGATACAAGAACATATAATCACTTCTTTTAGTCACAATGAAAAGGAACATAAACAAGAACAAATGCTCTTTATATCAACATAAAAGTTCTGAAAATTACACTGAATTACGTAAAATGAAACATAAATGCCTGCAAGAAGGAAAAATATTTTAAAAGTTTAAATTTATATCAACAGCTAATAAAAATTACCTTTTTAATTATTTCTTCAGCCTCCTCTTCTGCTTTTTCAATAGCTTTAGCATATAATGCACCTTCCGAAAGGTCCACACTCATTTTTGCTAAGCGTTTACTTTTTCTCAACACAGGCGGAGAAGAAGGTTTGCTCCTAAATAAACCGAATTGATAAATAAGAATAATAAGTGAAATAAGTGATTAATGTTTTCAGGAAATGGATATTGATGAATTCAGCATATCTACTGCATAAATTATTGAAACAATACTAGCAGAAAACATTAAAGCTTATCACAGATGATCGCACAGCTCATTGCAGCAAAAGGATCATCCTCCTTTCCAGAGAATAATAGCGAAAGATTAACTTTTGATTTACTCCAGGAGTACACCTCCTGGAGTAATTGAGACTGCAACCAATTTAGATAGCTAGAAATTCAGATGAGATTACCTTTTATCCTGGAAGGTAAATATATATATATATAAATATTCTAATACAGGTGAGAGAATTTCAGATTTCAATAGAGCTCAAGAAGTTAAAAAGAATTAAATATTTTCCCCTTCTCTGAAAGAAAACATAACACATTTGTTTTCACAATACTGAACAAGATATTTTGCCAATTTCTGTTTCAAGTAAAATAAAACAATGATATTAATTTTTATTGATAATTCTTAAAAGTAACATATAATCTTAGTTACATTTTTACTTATATTAAACATATTATATTTTATGTGAGCAAAATGAAACCCATAATTTACTTTTAGTTTACTAAAACTTAGCTATACTGAATACTGGCCATATTTGTATAAAGTGTTTTTAGATGTATATACAGTAATATAAATTTAATTTCATGCTAATTACTAAGCTATATGTTTTCTGCTAATTACTAAACTATGCACTTTCCAAATGAAGTCAAACTAAGTACAATTATTCTGCATAACATGTTTATTGGACTATAATTATACTTTTTTACTGCAAGCAATAAAATTAACAATGGCAACAGGCACCAGAAGTAACTCCACCTTTATGAAAATATAATTATTGACTGGAAGAGTTTGTAGAGAGGGTATGAGAGAGTTCTATTTGCTCCATCTAATCCATCAACTAAATAAGGGAATGTATGGACCTAAATGATTATCTGTTCATGCAGAAAAAGGCAAAACCAGTATGACTCTTCCCCAATGCTGATATTTGCCGGGCTATGGTGAGAAACTGCTTAAGTCTTTTTCACTTAGGTTCCAAAGAGGGAAGTAACCAAACTCAAGGTAAAAAATATCAACATGTACAAAAGGGATTGATGATTTATTCAGACTGTGAGTGAGCATATAAAACAGAGGAACTGGAAAAAGGAGGTAAAAATTTTACTGTAAATCATAAATTTCAATTTATTTAGGCAAACAAGTTTCTTAAACACAAAATGTTGAAAGATGGTGAAAATTTGCTAGGCAGTGGAATAAAAATCAATGAGGCAAGGTTCGGTATTATTCTGAGCCTTACCTTGTGAAGTTTATGTACTAAAAGTCTTTCAGATAAGAAAATGTTTTCGATGCATAGAGTCCAACTTATGGCAAAGCTTGTCAATGGGCAAAATGCAAACCACATTTTTGCAACTTTGAAAATGTGCATATAAAACAATTTTTTATTAGCTGTTTTTAATTTTTAATTAATCATTAAATTAAATGAATCATTAAATTAAATATGATTCAATTTAAAATCCTTAAATATAAAAAACTGAGTAATTAAAAACACTTTTTGCAAATTATATGCATACTTGATTAGAAATTTTAATTTTATTACTTAAGTAGAAATATTACTAAATCTACTAAAATATAATTAAAGTTAATACAGTACAAAGTCCAAGATCCGGACTCATGGAGACTTAGGTGATTACAGATTTGGGATTTTCCGGATATTACATAGTTAATTTAAAACTACTAAGATGGTATGTAGAAATTATAAAATTCAAAATATGAAATCGTGATTTATGAAATAATGAAGCATTTATGATCTAAAGGGTAACACAATTTACAAAAAGAGATCTAAAGGGTAACTCAATTTACATTATATTAATTTGTTTACTTTATTAAACTTTTTTTCACTGTAAGTTATTTAAGTTTCTTTTTTGCGCTAATATTTTCTTTTTCATTCTGTAGACAGACATAATTTTTTATTCAGTTACAAAGCTCCACTGTTTGAGTTCTGTAACTGCTGTGTTGAGAATTCCAACTAACTTGTCAATCGAAAGTTTTTGGTTTTCAATAACCTCTCTGGCACTATCGGTAGCAGTATTTTCAGGATCTACTAATACTACAGAATTCGCCGTCCATTATTTGAGTGATGATTGGGGCATTATCATTGCAATGAAAATCTTCTGTTACATCATCTTGCTTTATCACTGCTTCTCCACATTTCTTTACAAAATCACCTTTGCTTTGCGATATTTGAAAACTTTCACATTCGCGGCTATCCTATTCATCATCAACACCATGAAATATGGTAGCTGGCCATAAATTATACCAAAAAATTTTTTTAAAGTATCTAGAGACACATCCTCTTACAACCTAATGATGCTCCACAAAACAGACTTTATGCAAAAAAAATTTAAAACATTCTTGAATAGTCTTGCCATTATTCAAGAAATTTAACATGGCTTTTAAAAATTCTACTTTATATTTGGATTTCAGCGTGTGCACTATTCCGATATCCATAGGTTGAATAACGGACGTACAATCTGGAGGAAGGAATAATACAGATACGTTATCTTTCACTAAAACTTTATGTGAAGTATGACCCAAACATTTCTCTACAAGGACAATTTTTGCATCATCAGGTAAACCAAACGAATTCTGATGAGCTTTGGGTATGAAATGATTTTCAAACCAATCATTCATTAAGAATTGTGTCATCCGCGCGCTTTTATTTGCATGATATATAACGGGAGAAATCTTTACTCTTTTAAATGCTCAAAGTTGTGTACTTTTTCCGATTATGAAAAGTTTACACTTGTGCGTTCCTGCAGCATTTGTACATGCTAAAATTGTTAGTCTCACTTTTGAATCTGACACCAGTTGGAGCCTTTTCTATAGGGGTTGCCAAGATATTTTGTGACCCATTTAGTCATCACTTTTAGAAAAACGAATAGTTTTTCTGTTATCCATTGTGAGTGGGGTGTGGAATCCACAAGAAATTCAGTAAGTTCCTTTTTCTGTTTTCCTATGTTATATACTGCCAATAATTCCATTTTATATACCATTTCCTGTGCCCCTCTCTCAAGAAAACCTGTAGTTGTTTCAATATTTTCCATACCTCATAATTTTTAAGGAATTTCTGCAGGAACTACGGAGAATTCGTAGAAGCTGGAGTCTGCTTATGCCATATTAAATGCAGCTGGAGAAACACGGCACAGGATGTATGTTAGAAGTAAGCGTAAACTTATCGACAATCCTGCCACCAACTTGGCATTTAAAAAACAGGAGCTGTTATATACTGAAGTGCCACTGAATTAAGGATAGACATAGCTATGCAAATTTTATAGCGCTGAGTAGCATCTGTGCTCATGTGAGGAAGTTGTGGTAAATGCACATACAGCCAGTACTATGGTTGTTGTTAATCAGTTGTTTCAATTACCAGTATGAGTAAAACTTCTGATTTAGACAGCTTCAATCTTGGAGAGATAGTAGCAATCGACCCATAGGCCATTGTTTCCAAAATCCTCAGTGGGCTAGGATTTTCAAGGTCGACAGTGTCAAGAGTATGCAGAGAATACACGGATGGTTGGGAAAAAGAACTAGCGATCGGGTAAATGGCAAAGGACAACCTAGAACAAACATGGTGCGAGACATTCAGCTGTATTGTACAGTCAACGAAGTCAAACGTTAGCTCAAATTACCACCCAGCTGAATCAGGGCGACAGCCATACAGTCAATAAAAGGATCGTACAACGTTCGTTTCATCATATGGACTTCGGAAGCCGTAGACTCACAAGAGTACCCTTGCTGAACGCATGCCATCGAGCTGCCCATCTTGCCTGGACAAGAGAATACAGAGACTCTAGTGGACTTGAAATAAGAAGCAAGAAGCGATGAGTCTTGATTCCAACTAATTAACCCCTTAACTGCCGCTGGCGTATATATATGCCTTGCTCAGCCGATGCGTTAACTGCCCCAGATGCGCAGCCGATGCGTTAACTTTGCGAATAATTTTAGGTGTAGCAGCGCAAAGCAAATGATAGCAGTTTGGAAGGACGTATATATACGCCTGGGGCAGTTAACGCATCGGCTGAGCAAGGCGTATATATACGCCCGCGGCAGTTAAGGGGTTAATACTGATGGGAGGCTGAGAATATGGCATCATACTCATGAAGCCATTAACCCTGTATGGCAGATTGGAACTGTACAAGGTCATGATGGCTTAATCACGGTCTGGGATGTTTTCTCTTGGCAGTGTTTGGGACCTTTGGTACTTGTACCAACCTCTCTCAATATGATTCGGTATGTAAAGTTGCTGGGCGATCATCTCCATCCATTAACGTTGTCCTGTGATTCATATGGAAATGGAGTATCCCAGCAAGATAACTGCACCTCTCACAGGCCCCGGTTGGCTACTGCTTGGTTGGATGAGCGTTCTAACTTTTCTGTCATAACTTGGCTACTTAAAAGCTCTGACTTAAATTCTACTGAGCATCTTTCGGATGCTTTGGAGAAAAGTTTGAAACCTCATCATACAACACTGGCAACTCTTCCTAAATTATACACAGCTCTATGCGATGTTTGGCAAGCAATTACCATAGAATACTTCCAGAAACTTACTGAATCTATGCTTTGTCGTTTGGCAGCCATTATAAAGGTCAGAGGAGGTCCAAATCATTATTGACTAGCTATCCCTAATTCAGTGGCACTTCAGTATAATAAAGAAGTACCAGCTTAAATTTAAACAGCCTCAGTAGAAGAACAATCAATCAGAATTATTAGAGTTCTAAATAGTTTTACTGTATTATGAACTCATACTATATAATACATTCTGAAATGCTATACAAATTAACAGATTTATAAAACATGCCATTTAAAATAGCATCTCTAGAAGTTCAACAAAGCCCAAAATAATACAGAATGTATTCCATAATTCAAATAAAAGATATTAGTCATTATAGAACAAAC